AAGGTACCAGGGGCATCTCATGGGGTCCCCTACTGACCCCGGGCCCTCGGGCAGTGCCTGTTTTTCCAAATGGTCAGTCCACCCCTGTATATATATACAGTCAGGTCCATAAATATTGGGACATGGACACAATTCTAACATTTTTGGCTCTATACACCACCACAATGGATTTGAAATTAAACAAACAAGATGTGCTTTACCTGCAGACTGTCAGCTTTAATTTGTGGGTATTTACATCCAAATCAGGTGAACGGTGTAGGAATTACAACAGTTCACAATTCATCCGGCTGCTTCTGTCAGCAGTCACATCATCAATAAATACAAGAGAAGCAGTTCCATTGGCAGCCATACATGCCCACGCCATGACACTACCACCACCATGATCACTGATGAGGTGGTATGCTTAGGATCATGAGCAGTTCCTTCTCCATCCTCTTCTCTTCCCAACACTCTGGTACAAGTTGATGTCGGTCTCCTCTGTCCATAGGATGTTGTTCCAGAACTGTGAAGGCTTTTTTACATGTCGTTTGGCAAACTCTAATCTGGCCTTCCTGTTTTTGAGGCTCACCAATGGTTTCCATCTTGTGGTGAACCCTCTGTATTCACTGTGGTGAAGTCGTCTCTTGATTGGTGACTTTGACACACATACACCTACCTCCTGGAGGGTGTTCTTGATCTGGCCAACTGTTGTGAAGGGTGTTTTCTTCACCAGGGAAACAATTCTTCGCTCATCCACCACAGTTGTTTTCCGTGGTCTTCCAGGTCTTTTGGTGTTGCTGAGCTCACCGGTGCGTTCTTTCTTTTTAAGAATGTTCCAAGCAGTTGTTTTGGCCACGCCTAATGTCCTAAGCATACCACCTCATCAGTGAAGCATGGTGGTGGTAGTGTCATGGCGTGGGCATGTATGGCTGCCAATGGAACTGCTTCTCTTGTATTTATTGATAATGTGACTGCTGACAGAAGCAGCCGGATGAATTGTGAAGTGTTTCGGGAATATTATCGGCTCATATTCAGCCAAATGCTTCACAACTCATTGGACGCTTCACAGTGCAGATGGACAATGACCCAAAGCAGACTGCAAAAGCAGCCAAAGAGTTTTTTAAGGGAAAGAAGTGGAATGTTCTGCAATGGCCAAGTCAATCACCTGACCTGAATCCGATTGAGCATTTCACTTGCTGAAGACAAAACTGAAGGGAAAATGCCCCAAGAACAAGCAGGAACTGAAGACAGTTGCAGTAGAGGCCTGGCAGAGCATCACCAGGGATGAAACCCAGCGTCTGGTGATGTCTATGCGTTCCACACTTCAGGCTGTAATTGACTGCAAAGGATTTGCAACCAAGTATTAAAAAGTGAAAGTTTGATTTATGATTATTATTCTGTCCCATTACTTTTGGTCCCTTAACAAGTGGGAGGCACATATGCAAACTGTTGTCATTCCTACACCGTTCACCTGATTTGGATGTAAATACCCACAAATTAAAGCTGACAGTCTGCAGTTAAAGCACATCTTGTTCGTTTCATTCCAAATCCATTGTGGTGGTGTATAGAGCCAAAAATGTTAGAATTGTGTCCATGTCCCAATATTTATGGACCTGACTGTATATGAACAAAAGTCCACTTCGTGATGATTTTTCAAATAGTGCTCCTTCTCCCCTATGTGCTCACCTTATTTTTCGACCAAAACCATTAAGGTCAAAATAGCTTGTGTCCCTTATATGGACTAGTGGGTAATTTTCAGACGGTATCCTTGTCCCAGACGGATGGATGGTTGGATGAGTGTAATAATTTACTTTTTCCACAGGGGGTCTTGTTGTCCTCCAGAGCCCTGGTTTGCTGGGTTAAGATGGATGGATGGATTTTCTCCCTCTCTCCTGCAGGGGGACTTTCCACTTCCTACAACTCCTCTCCTTATTTCTCCATGTGTTGGTAACATGCAGCCAAAAAATCAGATGTAGTGCCTTATCTTCTTTAACCGCTAGCCTACAGGGCACGTCTACCCCCTTCCTGCCCACCGGGCACTTCTACCCCCTTCCTGCCTACAGGGCACTTCTACCCCCTTCCTGCCTACAGGGCACTTCTACCCCCTTCCTGCCCACCGGGCACTTCTACCCCCTTCCTGCCCACCGGGCACTTCTACCCCCTTCCTGCCTACAGGGCACTTCTACCCCCTTCCTGCCTAGAGGGCACTTATACCCCCTTCCTGCCTACAGGGCACTTCTACCCCCTTCCTGCCTACAGGGCACTTCTACCCCCTTCCTGCCCACCAGGCACTTCTACCCCCTTCCTGCCTACAGGGCACATCTACCCCCTTCCTGCCTACAGGGCACATCTACCCCCTTCCTGCCTACCGGGCACTTCTACCCACTTCCTGCCTACAGGACACTTCTACCCCCTTCCTGCCTACAGGACACTTCTACCCCCTTCCTGCCTACAGGACACTTCTACCCCTTCCTGCCTACAGGGCACTTCTACCCCCTTCCTGCCTACAGGGCACTTCTACCCCCTTCCTGCCTACAGGGCACATCTACCCCCTTCCTGCCTACAGGGCACATCTACCCCCTTCCTGCCTACAGGGCACATCTACCCCCTTCCTGCCTACCGGGCACTTCTACCCCCACTTCCTGCCTACAGGACACTTCTACCCCCTTCCTGCCTACAGGACACTTCTACCCCTTCCTGCCTACAGGACACTTCTACCCCCTTCCTGCCCACCGGGCACTTCTACCCCCTTCCTGCCTACAGGGCACTTCTACCCCTTCCTGCCTACAGGGCACATCTACCCCCTTCCTGTCTACAGGACACTTCTACCCCATTCCTGCCTACCGGGCACTTCTACCCCCTTCCTGCCTACAGGGCACTTCTACCCCCTTCCTGCCTACAGGGCACTTCTACCCCCTTCCTGCCTACAGGGCACTTCTACCCCCTTCCTGCCTACAGGGCACTTTTACCCCCTTCTTGCCTACAGGGCACTTCTACCCCCTTCCTGCCTACAGGGCACTTCTACCCCATTCCTGCCTACAGGGCACTTCTACCCCCTTCCTGTCTACAGGGCACTTCTACCCCCTTCCTGCTTACCGGGCACATCTACCCCCTTCCTGCCTACAGGGCACTTCTACCCCCTTCCTGCCTACAGGGCACTTCTACCCCCTTCCTGCCTACAGGGCACTTCTACCCCCTTCCTGCCCAGGCCAATTTCCAGCTTTCAGTGCTGTCACGCTTTGTATGACAATTGCGCGCGGTCATGCAACACTGCACCCATATTACATTTTTATAATTTTTTTGACACAGATAGAGCTTTATTTTGGTGGTATTTAATCACATCTGGGATTTTTATTTTTTCTTAACCACTTGCCGCTCTGCCACTGTAGAAATACGGCGGCAGGGCGGCACGGGCAGGCAAAACCACGTTTTAAAACGTGTGTTTTGTAAACAGATATGGGGCGTGCGCGCGGCGGCGCGCCGCCGCCCTATCTGTCCCGCTGATCACTTCCGTGGATGTCAGTCGCCGGGTCACAGCCGGTCCTTACCGGCTGTTTCCCGGCGATCGGTGGCAAACAGTGACAGACAGCACAGTTGCAGTAGCTGTGCTGTCTGTCACTTCCCTGACAGCTCGAGGACGAGCTGATCGAGAAAGAAGAGTTTCTCTCTCTCGATCAGCGGTGTCCCATGCAGCACACACCCCCCGCCCCGCCCACCCCGCCCCCTAGTAAAACACTCCCCTCACACAGATAAACCCTTCCCTGCAAAATAAAGTTAACCCCTTCATCCCTATTGCCATTAGTACTGTGTCAGTTTTTTTTTTTTTGCACTGATCACTGTATTAGTGTTTTTGGGGATGTCAGTGACCCCAAGTCAGTACCCCCCAATGTCAGAATGTCCGCCGCAGTCCCACCATAAGTCGCTGGTCGGTGCCATATGTCACCGATCGCCGCCATAATTCTCTGATCGCCGCCATTATTAGTATAAAAAAAAAACTAAAAATCCCAGTATCTTTCCCGCCATTTGTAAACGCTATAACTTTCACGTAAACCAATTAATTTACACGTATTGGTTTTTTTTTTTAGCAAAGACATGTCGCAGAATGCATTTTGGCAGAAATATATGACTAAATTTGATTTTTGCATTTTTTTTTTACTGGACATGTTTTATAGCAAAAAGTCCAAAATATTGTTTTTTTTCCTCAAAATTGTCAGCCTTTTTTTATAGCGCAAAAAAATAAAAACCGCACAGGTGATCAAATACCACTGAAAGAAAGCTCAATTTGTGGGGAAAAAAAGGATGTAAATTTCATTTATGTACCGTATTGCATGACCGCGCAATTGTCCGTTAAACTAGCGCAGCGCTGTATAGCAGAAAAATGGCGTAAATTGCAGTATCTGTACCATAGTTTGTAGACGCTATAACTTCCACACAAAGCAATCAATATACACTTATTGGGATTTTGTTTACCAAAAACATGGAGCAGAATACATTTTGGCCTAAATTTATAACTAACTTTGAGTTTACTATATATTTTTTATAGCTGAAAGTAAAAAATATTGTTTTTCTTCAAAATGTTTGGCCTTTTTTTTGTTTATAGCGTGAAAAATAAAAAGCGCACAGATGATCAAATACCACCGAAAGAAAGCTCTATTTGTGTGAAAAAAAAGGACAAAAATTTTGTTTGGGTGCAGCATTGCATGACCGCGCAATTATCAGTTGAATTAGTGCAGCGCCGAGTAGCAAAAAGAGGCGTGGTCATTAAGGGGGGTAAATCCTCAGGAGCTCAAGTGGTTAAACAAACCAAAAACCACTGAAAATTTTGAAAAAAAAAAGTTTTTTCTTAGTTTTTGTTATACAATTTTGTAAATAAGTGATTTTTCTCCTTCACTGATGTGCGCTAATGAGGCTGCACTGATGGGCACTGATGAGGAGGCACTGGTAGGTTGCACTGATGGGCATTAACAGGCATCACTGATCGGCACTGACAGGCAGCACTGATAAATGACACTGATATATGGCACTGATAGGCGGCACTGATAGGCAGCACTGACTGGCACTGTTAGGCGGCACTGATGCGCACTGATAGGCAACACTGACTGGCACTGATAGGTGGCACTGATTGGCGACATTGAAAGGCAGCTCAGATGGGCACTGATATGTGGCATTGATGTGGCACTGATGGGCACTGGCACGTGGCACTGATGAGCACTGACTGCTGGCACTGATGGACACTGACAGGTGGCACTTCTTGGGCCACACTGATCATCAGGGCACACTAATCATCAGTGCCCTGATGATCAGTGTACATGTCCCCTCCGCGGAAAGCCGATTACCGGCTCTCCTCTCCTCTGTCAGCGTGACAGCTCGAGAGGAGAGAAATGCCGATAACCGGCATTTCCGTGTTTACATGTGATCAGCTGTGATTGGACACAGCTGATCACATGACCGAGCCGACATCTTTGGCTCTTTCCGTGATTCGCTGTGTCCGAGGGACACAGCGCACCGGCGATTGCCACACTGCATGCTCCCTGAGCCGCGCATGCGCGGTGAGAACGGAAGGACGTCATATCAGAATGAGTGAACCACCTTGCGCCCGTTATTGTACTATATGGCGGGCGGAAGGTGGCTAAAATATTTAGGCTTTGGGATGCTGGTATGGGGTATGGCGGTGATCAGGATGCTGGTATGGGGTATGGCGGTGATCAGGACGCTGGTATGGGGTATGGTGGTGATCAGGACGGTGGTATGGGGTATGGCGGTGATCAGGATGCTGGTATGGGGTATGGCGGTGATCAGGATGCTGGTATGGGGTATGGCGGTGATCAGGATGCTGGTATGGGGTATGGCGGTGATCAGGATGCTGGTATGGGGTATGGCGGTGATCAGGATGCTGGTATGGGGTATGGCGGTGATCAGGATGCTGGTATGGGGTATGGCGGTGATCAGGATGCTGGTATGGGGTATGGCGGTGATCAGGATGCTGGTATGGGGTATGGCGGTGATCAGGACGCTGGTATGGGGTATGGCGGTGATCAGGATGCTGGTATGGGGAATGGTGGTGATCAGGATGCTGGTATGGGGTATGGCGGTGATCGGGACGCTGGGCAGCCTGTGCTGGGATGGCAACACGCCTGGATGGATGGCCCGCCCACCCAGCACCCTCCACATCTCACAGTTCAGCCTCAGCTGCTCCAGCCCAGGAGGGGAGGATGAATTACTGATTCTTCAGTGCTTGCCTGCTGCCGTGCCGCCCAGAGAGTTGTTTGTGCTGTCAGACCTCTGACTGATTATGACTGTCCTTCTGACCATTCCAGATCCGGTTCTCATCTCCAACATCACCAGTAATGGCAGCCGGCTGGGTGAGGACATGGCGGTGAGCGTCCAGTTCTCTGGAGAAGAGAGCGCTGTGACCTGGGAGGTGGACGGGGAGCCTCTCCCTGAAAGATACCGGCTGATAGATGACAATAGGACGCTGATTATCCCCAGTGTGCAGAGAGACGACGCCGACAGGAGATTCCGGGTCAGGATCACCAACCCGGTCAGTGAGGAGATCCGGGAATACCGGCCGATCAATGATACAACGTTCATCAGAATGCTGGAAGCAGAAGGTATTGGTGACTATGGGGGGGGGTCATGTTATATTCCATGTATTGGGGTGTTATAGATCGGGGTCATCCTGTCTCCTCTTCTCTGGGGGGTCATAGTGGGAGGGTGACACAGGATAGTAACATTGTGTCATGTTGTCTCTTCTCTGCTCTCCTGATGGAGGATTATACAGGTGAGATGTCACATGACCACCAACAATACAGACTGATACATTGTATATTTATTGAACATGTGATATGGATTTTATACATTGTGTGTACATTACTTTTATATCTTCACAGGTTCAGGCTCACATAGACAGAGGCCGGGTGTCATTGTTGGTGCCGTCATAGTGGCAGTGATGATTTCCATTCTACTTGGGGTGAGTGATATTCCCTCTCTCTATATTACATTATTACATAGATAATGATCCAGAAATAGATTTCTCATTATCACCCCCTGCAGGGCTGGATCCAGCCTTTCTGATCTGGAACTATAAAAATAGTCAGGAGGCATAATGTCAATACTGTGCGCCCCCTTACATCAGTGTCCCCATCACAGTGCCCCCTTACATCAGTGGCCCCATCACAGTGCCCCCTTACATCAGTGTCCCCATCACAGTGTCTTCTTAAATCAGTGTCCCTGTGATGGGAGTGACTTTGGGTGGGGGGCCCATGGAACCCAGCTCACTTTGGAGAGGTGGGGAGACCCCTGTCTCAGCTTCCCATATCCCTCTTATGTGTAAGTCACCCTGTGCCTGTTAGGGGTGCAGGGTGAAATGTCATGATATTGTGTAGACATGTATAGGTGGGGGTTGTTCATTGTTTAATGCCATGTGGTTGTATCCCATTGTTCTATTGTGTGTCTTGCTTGGGAGCAAACTATTATGGGATATATGTGTTTGTGTATTGGCTTGGTGGGGGGTGGTTCTGGCAGCCCTTCCCCCTGATGGGACTGCCTGCTGATGTGTTTCTTGTACTGGGTGTGTATTGCCCCGCCCTGTGTATATATCTGGTCTCTGTGTTAAAATAAAGCAGTCTGTTTCCTGATTTATTTCAAGACTGGTCGTGTCTAGTCTCGTATGGCCAGTGGTGGTGTCTGTGGATCTGTGTTCGGACAGGGAAGCGGGAGTCTATTGGAAATACCCAAGTGCAGTCGGGGTCCGGTTACATTGGTGGCAAGTGGTGGGATTGTGCTTCCTGGCTGTGAACACGTCCAAACCACCACCGGGATTCAAGATCAGGAAAGGAGACGTCAGTCACCCCAGTGGAGATATGGACCTGGCATCAGAGTTCCCGGGGGTGCTGCGGATCGTTCTTGCAACATACCCCAGGATTGTGTCTGCGAATCAGTACCAGGAGCTCAGGCAGCGGATTCGGGTACTGCTGTGGAGTGGAGCCCTCCAAGTTGCTGGTATGTACAAGGGCAAGTGCTATCCAACCCCAGGGGACGAGCCAGGGACCATCGGATGTTATGGATGCCATTCCTGGGAGAGACCCCAGGAGCAATGGGTGACTGAGTTGGACAGGCCGTTCCAGCAGGATCTAGAGCTGGACAACAGATATCGGGCTCTGCAGTGGTATGCAGAGCAGAAATATTTAGGGGTGACAACAGAATGCTCTCCAGAGGGATGTGACTTGGTGGCCCTGGATTGCTGTGGGAGAGCCTTACAGATCATTTTGTGTTTGGCGCTGAAGGAGAACCTACCCTTGAGGACCTGCGAGAAGGCAGAGAGGCTATGTTCAATCTCACAGGGGTCTCAGAGCTTGAACCAGATCTGGAAAACCTGCTGATAAAAGAACAGCATCTGGAAAGGGCATACAGGCAACTGCTAAAACATGTTCAGCAGCATGCCCAAGAATCGGCAGTGGGAATTCCAGAGATTGCTGTCCCCAAACCTGAAGTACTGACAAAAGAGCAGAGCTCTGCTTGGGGTACTGTGTGTGTGGTGGCATTGGGGGACTAGAAGTACAGACTAACTTTGGAGTCCACCCGTCTGGAGTTTCCTCCTGCATTAGTCTCCTGCCAAAAGGGGAGATATGTGACGGACGTCACTTTGGGTGGGGGGCCCATGGAACACAGCTCACTTAGGAAAGGTGGGGAGACCCCTGTCTCAGCTCCCCATATCCCTCTTATGTGTAAGTCCCCCTGTGCCTGTTAGGGGTACAGGGTGATCTGTCCTAATATTGTGTAGACATGTATAGGTGGGGTGGGGGTTGTTCATTGTTTAATGCCATGTGGTTGTATCCCATTGTTCTATTGTGTGTCTTGCTTTGGAGCAAACTATTATGTGTTTGTGTATTGGCTTGGTGGGGGGTGGTTCTGGCAGCCCTGCCTGCTGTGTGTTTCTTGTACTGGGTGTGTATTCCCCCACTCTGTATATATATCTTGTCTCTGTGTTAAAATAAAGCAGTCTATATCCTGGTTTTCGTTCAAGAGTGGTGTCCGTGGATCTGTGTTTGGACATGGAAGCGGGAGTCTAACGGAAATACCCGAGTGCAGTCGGGGTCTGGTTCTGTTACAGTCCCCATCAGGGCACCCCCTTACATCAGTGTCCCTATTACACATGACCAGTTATCCCCATCAGAGTCCCTCCTTACATCAGTATCCCTAATAGAGTCCCCCCTTGCATCAATTGTCCCCATCAGAGTGCCTCCTTACATCAACTGTTTCATACAGAAAATCCCTGCCCAGTATTTCTCCCTACATTGGTGCCCCGTGGGTTTCTGGGATCTCTCGGTATCCTTACTCTCTGTGGGACATCTAGTGTATATGGTGTCAGCAAAACATCCCTGTTTATATATGAAGAATATCCTTACAGGGACAGCAGGTGTATGAATAAGGGCTGAAAACTATAGAAAATGAAGTTGTACAGTAAAGTGTATGGAGGTGATCAGGGATGGTGAGGGCCTCCAGAATGTCTTGGGGGGGCACTAGTTTGGCTGCTCTTTTGATGCAGTAACCCCTGGTAGTTCTATGACCAGGGGCAGTCAGTGAATGAATGAGGTGTCACTGCTATAAAACCTGTGTGATCTGGGAGGATATTTTGCGATGTCACCTGACCTCTTAATCAATTTTATATTCACAGATCTATTGCTGGAGGAAAGAGGGAATCCTACAAACCAAGTAATCTGGAGAAGAATGAAGCTGTACCCATTATGGGGAATGGAGCCGTGCCCATTATGAGGAATAGAACTGTGTATACTATGGAGAATGAAGCCGTGCCCACTATGGGGAGTGGAGCCGTGCCCACCATGAGGAATGGAGCCGTGCCCACTATGGGGAATGGAGCCCTGCCCACTATGGGGAATGGAGCCCTGCCCACTATGGGGAATGGAGCCCTGCCTACTATGGGGAATGGAGCCGTGCCTACTGCGGGGAATGGAGTCATGCCCACTATGGGGAATGGAGCCGTGCCTACTATGGGGAATGGAGCCCTGCCTACTATGGGGAATGGAGCCGTGCCTACTGTGGGGAATGGAGTCATGCCCACTATGGGGAATGGAGCCGTGCCTACTATGGCGAATGGAGCCGTGCCTACTGTGGGGAATGGAGCCGTGTACATTATAGAGCAGGTGTCGTCAATGTTTGAAGGTTGGAAGTCTACCTGAATGACACAGGAGGGTGTCATGAAGAAAACTTAATGCACAGGGGTCATTAGTATGCAGGGCAGTGTACTGGGGTCAGTGGTTTATTAGGCAAAGTACAAGTGTAAGCAGTTTGTAGGGCAGATTATCCGCTTGGGGCCCGCCCACAGTACATTTACATTTGTGCGCAAAATCACATGTGTATATATACATGTGATTTTGCATTTCCAGGTAGCGGGCAGGCGCGGTGGCCCTGGGGGTCATTCACCAAGTCCCTAACGGAGATTACCGACAGGGAGGAGGGCTGCATTGTTTACCAACAGCCCTCCTCCCTGTCAGTTTGGGCATACTGCTTGGGATGGCTGAGCACAGCTACCCTGTGAAGCACCCCCCCCCCACAAGTAAAACACTCCCTGCACAATGTTAACCCATTGATCGCCCCTGATTAACCCCTCCCTGCCCAGTGCCATTAGTACAGTGTCAGTGCTTTTTTTTTTAGCACTGATCACAGTATTGGTGTCACTCACTGGGAATGTCAGTGACACCAAATCAGTCCCCCCCCAATCTCAGAATGTCCACCGCAGTTCGCCATAAGTTGCTGATCGCCGCCATTAGTATAAAAAAAAAAAAAACACCACAAATTCCAGTATCTATACCGCCATTTGTAAACGCTATAACTTTCACATAAACCAATTCATTTCCACGTATCGGAATTTTTTCTTTTTTAGCAAAGACACGGAGCAGAATACTTTTGGCCTAAATTTATAACGAAATTTGATTTTTTTTGACTGGACATGTTTAATAGCAAAAAGACCAAAATAGTGGGGGTTTTTTAAAAATTGTTATTTTTTCATAGCGCAAAAATTTAAAACCGCACAAGCGATCAAATACCGCCGTAAGAAAGCTGAATTCGTGGGGAAAAAAAAAAATACGTGAACTACATTTGGGTGCAGCGTTGCATGACCGTGCAATTGTCAGTTAAAATAACACCGCACCGTATCGCAAACCACTTCTTTAACTGCTTCCTGACCGCCCTATAGCAAAAATACTGCTACAGGGCGGCACGGGTACGCAAAGTTATAATATATACATACATACACACACACGCACATGTGATTTATGCTCCCGCGGTGTTCATGCCCCCCAGGTGGCGTCAGATTGCCCCTCAGTACACCAGTAATCCTATTTAACCTCTTAATTTCCAGGAAGACTCTCATACACAATAAACCTCCATTGCTAGTATAGTGTCTGAATGGATCAATATCTTTGATCAGATCAGCACTATACCAGCGTTCACATTAGTATAGCGTCCCCAAAAACAAAGTGTTAGCGGTATCAGCCCCTTGCACCTTCCAGCACCAGCATTTGGCCCCTGTGCTTACCCCCCCCCCCCTTCTCCCCCAGCAAGTGCAGTGTCAGTAGATCACTGTCACTTGATACATTGCACACAAAACCAGTGTTCACAGAATCAGGCCTGATCTCTGCTAGCACTTGCCGGTAAATTTTGATGACTCTTATATCTAGCATAGTGCCAGTACTAGTGCCGCGCTACCTTTTGGTGAACTGGTGAGCACCAGCGGCCTAGTACATTCGGGTCTTTCATATACCAGCACTGCAGTATCACTTGGTGACATGGCGAGTCCCATAAGTGTAGTACAAGCTGGTGCAGTGCCGAGCACAAGTATTGTACCACAACCACCAAAAATTCGCACACAGGCCCGTAGAGCCCCTAGTATCCTTCTGAACGTGCTTGCAAATCCCGATTGGCAGCCCACAAATTCTGCAGCACCCATACTTCCCCCATTCACTGCTCAACCCGGAATTCAGGTGGAAACAGAAAATTTAACTACTCCCCTTGATTTTTTGGAGCTGTTTTTCACAGAATATCTGTACGCATCGATTGTGGATCAAAGCAATTTATATGCATAACAATTTATCGCCGCCAACCCAGATTCAAACCTTGCCAGACCATTCGCATGGAAACCCATTACGGTTTCCAAATTTACACTTTTTGGGGGAAAAACCCTCAACATGGGCATTGCTAAAAAGAATGAATTGCGTTTGTATTGGTCCGCAGACCCGATTCATCATATGCCCGTGTTCTCTGCTGCCATGGCCAGGCATAGATATGAGAGTATAATGTGTTTTATGCATTTCAGAGTCAATACACTATTGTCCTCAGGGTGACCCTGAATTTGACTGGCTCCACAAAATTCGGCCCCTCGTAAATCACCTTAACCAAAAATTTGCAGATGTCTATACTCCCCAGCGAAACATCTGCGAGTCCCTCATTAATTTTTCTGGCTGACTTGCATTCAAACAATTTCTCCCCAGCAAGCGTGCCAGATATGGGGTCAAGATGTAGAAGACCTATGAGAGGACAACATGCTATACATACAAGTTTCGGATTTGCGAGGGAAAAGATAGTTACGTGGAGCCCCCCAGATGCCCAGACTACATGGGGAGTAGTGGCAAGCTAGTTTGGGACTTGGCGTCATCCTTTTTCTATATGGGGTACCACTTATACGTGGACAATTTTTATTCAAGCGTGCCACTATTTAGACATTTGTACAATCTTGGAATTGGAGCATGTGGCACCGTGTGACCTAATGTGTGCCCACCATAAGAAATGAGTGGATGCAGGGGGGTATATTCTAATGTTGGGAATACCACACACTTTTTTCTAGCAGAGATTTCTTCTCTTTTTTTCATTCAGCTCATAGGCTGCATACAAAAAAAAACAAAAACATAGCATATACAGTCAGGTCCATAAATATTGGGACATCGACACAATTCTAACATTTTTGGCTCTATACACCACCACAATGGATTTGAAATGAAACAAACAAGATGTGCTTTAACTGCAGACTGTCAGCTTTAATTTGAGGGTATTTACATCCAAATCAGGTGAACGGTGTAGGAATTACGACAGTTTGCATATGTGCCTCCCACTTGTTAAGGGACCAAAAGTAATGGGACAGAATAATAATCATAAATCAAACTTTCACTTTTTAATACTTGGTTGCAAATCCTTTGCGGTCAATTACAGCCTGAAGTCTGGAACGCATAGACATCACCAGACGCTGGGTTTCATCCCTGGTGATGCTCTGCCAGGCCTCTACTGCAACTGTCTTCAGTTCCTGCTTGTTCTTGGGGCATTTTCCCTTCAGTTTTCTCTTCAGCAAGTGAAATGCTCAATCGGATTCAGGTCAGGTGATTGACTTGGCCATTGCATAACATTCCACTTCTTTCCCTTAAAAAACTCTTTGGTTGCTTTTGCAGTCTCCTTTGGGTCATTGTCCATCTGCACTGTGAAGCGTCCAATGAGTTGTGAAGCATTTGGCTGAATATGAGCCGATAATATTCCCAAAACACTTCACAATTCATCCGGCTGCTTCTGTCAGCAGTCACATCATCAATAAATACAACAGAAGCAGTTCCATTGGCAGCCATACATGCCCACGCCATGACACTACCACCACCATGCTTCACTGATGAGGTGGTATGCTTAGGATCATGAGCAGTTCCTTTCCATCCAAATCAGGTGAACGGTGTAGGAATTACAACAGTTTGCATATGTGACTTCCACTTGTTAAGGGATCAAAAGTAAAGGGACAATTGGCTTCTCAGCTGTTCCATGGCCAGGTGTGTGTTATTCCCTCATTATCCCAATTACAATGAGCAGATAAAAGGTCCAGAGTTCATTTCAAGTGTGCTATTTGCATTTGGAATCTGTTGCTGTCAACTCTCAAGATGAGATCCAAAGAGCTGTCACTATCAGTGAAGCCATCATTAGGCTGAAAAAACAAAACAAACCCATCAGAGAGATAGCAAAAACATTAGGCGTGGCCAAAACAACTGTTCGGAACATTCTTAAAAAGAAGGAACGCACCGGTGAGCTCAGCAACACCAAAAGACCCGGAAGACCACGGAAAACAACTGTGGTGGATGAGCGAAGAATTCTTTCCCTGGTGAAGAAAACACCCTTCACAACAGTTGGCCGGATCAAGAACACTCTCCAGGAGGTAGGTGTATGTGTGTCAAAGTCCCCAATCAAGAGAAGACTTCACCAGAGTGAATACAGAGGGTTCACCACAAGATGGAAACCATTGGTGAGCCTCAAAAACAGGAAGGCCAGATTAGAGTTTGCCAAACGACATGTAAAAAAGCCTTCACAGTTCTGGAACAACATCCTATGGACAGATGAGACCAACATCAACTTGTACCAGAGTGATGGGAAGAGAAGAGTATGGAGAAGGAAAGGAACTGCTCATGATCCGTTCATACCACCTCATCAGTGAAGCAT